GCACGCGTGGTTCAACGGCCACACGCACGGCTTCAACCACGACGTCGCCAAGTGGGGGACCCACTTTTTTGAAAACGGCGGCGGTGGTGGTATCGTCACCGAGTCGTCGACGGAGGGCAAGAACAAGTTTATCGACCCGATCTGGGTCGCGGGCGGCAACCCGTACGGCTTTATGGAGCTCAGCTTCTCGAAGGACTGGCTCAAGGTGCAGTTTGCTTCGTTTGACAAGTCGTGGAACTTTGGCGGCTTCAACCTCGCGGCGACCACCCGCGGCGGCGTCGCCAAGGGTCACTGCTGGTACATCCCGCGCATTCCTGGTACCCCCGGCATCAAGTGCAAGGACTCGTTCGACGGCCCCATCGGTGCCCCTAGCGTGTAGACGATGAATACCATTTTGTTGCTTGTCTCTTCATCGTCCCGCAGTCGCGCAATCAAGTATATACAGTGCCTCCTGTGTGGTATGTACGTACAGAGCGGCCCACAAGATCACAACAGAGCCGCTGGCTAGTCTATCTACCAGTGCGCACTCAAACGTCGCAATGCCCTCTATCTATCTATCTATCTATCTATCTATCTATCTATCTATCTATCTATCTATCTATCTATCTATCTATCTATCTATCTATCTATCTATCTATCTATCTTACAGTAGTGTGATCCTTGCTGAAGATCGCAGTTGTAAAACGCATCAATCCGCAGCCTCTTAAATAAGAATGCGCGTCTCAAGCACTTGGAAACGACATGCATGGGATTGGCTAAAATACCGTCATTTTCACCAATCAGCGACGTGTGAATATCTTCGTCGTGCCACCAGGGATGGAAGCCCAGCGCAAGGACGAGGAGGTCGACACCGAGTACGAGGAGCTCATCCCGCCCGAGAACTTTGCGATGGTCGAGCGTGGTCTCTACCGAAGTACGCTCTCTCGATCTCGCAGCGGCGCCTCATGCGCTCCTCTGCGGCGTAGGCGGATTTCCCAAGAAGAAGAACTTTGCCTTTGTCAAGACGCTCGGGCTCAAGAGCATCTTGTACGCGTCTCAGGCACATGGACGTACGAGCTGAGCACCTCGTAGAACGCTCGTGCTCGAAGACTACCCACTTGCCAACTGCGAATTCAACAAGATCCATGGCGTGACCTTGCTCCAGTTTGGCGTGCCCGGCAACAAGGTCCTCATCGTCTCTATCGATGTCGTTTACCAAGCGCGCTTTGTGTAGGAACCGTTTGTGGACATTCCAGAGAAGGGCATTGCCGCCGCGCTGAGCGCTGTCCTGGGTACGACGACGTGGATTGGATAGCTTGTGTTCACGACGATGGCTATGGCTAGACAAGCGCAACCATCCGATGCTGATTCATTGCAACAAGGGCAAGGTACACCGCTTTCTTTGCATACACGAGGAGCTGGAAGTCGACTGCATAGCATCGAACGGGCTGCCTCGTCGGGTGTCTCCGAAAGGTCTGCGCTGCGCCGTATGAACGTTGAGGCCCAAGACGACGGTGCTAGGTGCAGCGGTGGGCGTTTAGCTCGGTGTTTGACGAGTACATTCGATTTTCGCACCCCAAGCCGCGCATGATGGACCAGCAGGTCGTCGTACTCTTGGCAGAATACGATGTTCATATTCATGTGATTTAGTTCATCGAGCTATTCAATACGGACCTCGTCGAAGAGTCCGAGGCGACGGAGCGACCGGCGTGGCCAGGCTTGTCCTAACGCAACGTCTTAAATAGCTGGCGACCGGCGCTCGAGTTGATGTTCGGCTCGCGCTTTGTGCTTGCGCGCGTCGCTTTTCTTCTTGAGCAGGATGCCGACGCCGAGGACGATGCCAGCAGCGACGATCGATGCGGCAATGATGACCCACACGATCGGTGAAATGGACGAGTCGGAGACGTGGCCTGGAATTTCGTACTCGCCGAGCTTGGTACCCTGGCCCTTGTCGACAAAGTACCCGTTGTCCCACATCATGGAGAAGCCGCGCTGGAAAAAGTCACCGGCTGCGGGCCCCCGCATCGCGTCGGCGCTCACACCCGTGTTGCAGATACCGTCGCTCTGCCCGGGTGTCTTGAGCCAGAGGTAGTAGTCGACGTGCGGCGACCCCGTGTTGGACGTGGGTGGCACGCTACGCATCGTATTTCATTCCATGAGCTTGCTTGCCAACTTGGGCGGTAGGATACCCAATGCCAGCCGTGTTGGCGTTGCACCACTCGCTCGTGGGACTCGGGCCGTGGTAGTTGCGCGACGTGTCAAAAACGCATGTAAATCCTAGCCCATTCTCCATTCGAACCTGTTGGATCAAAGAAAGTTGATGCGTACCCGGACGCGCCGAGGCAAAATTCATGCAAAACTCGAGCAGCTCGGCGTTGCTCCGGTAGTTGGACGTGTTGATCGCGATCCCGCGCATGCGCCCAGCCTTGGCGAGCTTGTCGACGATCGGCAGCATGGCGTCCATGGTCGTTGCATTCTTGAACGTCCACCAGCCGACATCCACGTACATGAGCGCATTCGGGTTGGCAGTCGTGAGAAGACTCATGGCGATCTCCATATTCGCCAAGTACCCATGCGTCCACGCGCATGAATTGGCACCTTCGGCCAAGAGGCCGACGGCGTCGGGCTCGAGGACGTAGAGCACGGGCTGCGTGCCCACAAGGGTCGCCAGCGCCGTAATGAACGCAGTGTACTCGGCCGTGTTGGTGTTGGAGCCTTGGTTCGAGTAGACGCCAGAACAGTCTTTGCCCGGGAGACCGTAGACGACGACGACGGGCAGCTGCGCGCCGTGGCCGTTCCCTGCCGCGCACGCTTCCATCGTCTGCGAAGCGACCTTGAGGTACTCGGTCCGGTCCGTGTACCACGTTGCGAGCGGCTGCGCTAGGACCGTTGACAGCGCGGGCTTGAGCCGCGGGTACGACGAGGCTGCCGACGCGAGGTTGTCGGGCGTGAGGCCGTGGCAGAGCGGCAGCGAGAGCGCTGTCGTCGCCATCGAAGCGTGGAAGATCGAAAGTGATCTTAACCTTCGAGGATGGCTTCAACGCCTTCTGTTGTTCTGCGACCCAGCGTTGAGATCGTCGAAGGTTTGAGGAGCGAACCGTCTCGATCAACGAGAAATAACCAGCATCGTTCTGGAGACGAGTTCATTCCTTAGGCACCTACGAGAAAGGTGCACTCGTTCAATTTGCTACCCGACCCCTTGGCTTCAAGCTTTAGAACTTGGTTCAGAAGTAGACCACCATGTTTGCATAAATGGTTAACGGTAAGGCGTGTATCGATGCTGAGGTGCTCATTGGCAAGGACAAGACATTAACTTTAGCTTGAGCGTCAACGTATTGTCGTTATTTCAAGTTGAAGAAGGCCGCGACTTTGTTTTGTGTATCGCTCCAGCTAATCTTCATGTCGATAACGTCCATTTCCGCCTTTTGAAGTCGCTTTTCTGCAGCGTTGACGTGCGCAATCACATGGTCGAGTCGGTCTTTCTCGTCACCATCAGTGACGCTGGGCAAACGGTCTGTGGCTTCCTTCTTCAGCGGCAGCAGGTTGCGTTCCCAGAGCTTTCGCTCACCGGCGGCCGTCTCTTCGGCGTGCGAGATGGCGAGCTCGACCGTGAGGTACGTGCCCGAGACTGTCGCGCCAAGAAGCGCCAAGGCTGTTCCAGCCCGCTGTGCCAAGTTGGCCCACATTTCTTTGCTCTTTGGTGGACCAATCGCCGTGCGTGAAAGCAGGCATTCTATTTTTGTCCAGTCGCAAGTTCGTAAAGTCCATCTCGACGGTGGATTGGCTAAAAAACGGTAAAAAGAACTCAATTATAGCCAATCCAGAATGCGAACGTCGGGATCTTGCACGATATGCAAGATCGTCACCCACGGATCACAAAAGTCTTCAAGGTCTTTATGCCATGGCTCTTCAGCTTTTGTGCTTCATTACTTCAACGGGGCTTGAGTTCTACTAGAACATCTCAGAACCGTAGGCATCGTTCGAGACTACGAGAGGACAGCTCGTGGATCATCAGTGTGTTATCGATACGCCTCAATTCTCATATTTGGACAGAAACAAGGTCGCTGGTGCGATTCAGAGAGTCGACAACGCGACACAAAATCATGACCTTTTTAAAACGCAAAGACAGACACGTTGCATGAAGGCTTCGAGGGACAGCCCCGTGCGCGGTTCGACGTCGCAACGTCCGTATTCGCCCTTTTCTAGCAAAATACATAGTACTTGAAAACGGAGCTTCATTTAAAGCGCACATGAAGCGGTCAGAAAGCCGATATCTTATTACCACAGGATGTCCCATTGTTCCCTTGCTACTCGCGTGGACGAGCAACTCAATCCACGAAACTACCCCGTGGTCCTGTCGACAAAGACGCGGCGTCCAGACACAAAGAAATCCAGTGATCAGCGCTTTACCACCGCGTGCCTCTGAGACTTGGCGACCAATACTTCGTCTCTTTACTGTATTTGCCGTTGAGCCGATAGTGCGTCTCACGTTCCAGCCGACGCCATACCATCACGCGCGAGTTCGATTCTCGGGACCGTGCACGCGGCTTGTGGTCGAGTTAAAAAATAGTACTACGTTTAGCAAGAAAGCCTTGCGTTCGAACGAAGGCTGCTATCACATGACCTCATGAGGACTTGCAGAGTCCATCTCGAGCTTCCTTGTTGGCCGAGTAGAAACATCCAGGTGATCGCATACAATATTCGCTTGCCATTCTAGTGCAGCGTCGTCAACGTAGTAGAGTACCGTATGCGATCGCATCTTCGTCCAACCATCGTTCGTCGCCGTGCCTCTCGTTGACCAGATAGCGATCCTGCAGAAGATCGCACGAGTCTTTTAGCCAATAAGCTGCCAGAACGCCACCAGCGCCAATCGGTTGACCAATCGCAGCTGCACATCCAATAGACGTTGCCGTCAATTGGCTCTTGCACTGTGGACGTAAGCTAGGTGAGGCTCGCTGTCACAGCAGCTCTCATTATCGTTCCGACGGGGTATCTTGGCCTCAACAAGTCGGGCGGGCGGGAAAGATCATGTGGCGCGAAGGCCGATTGCGCATCTCTGGCGAGTGCTGAGAGAGTGTTGACGTCGTCATCACGGAGCTGACTTTCCTCTCGCGTTTTCTACGCGCTAGCCAAGCGCACGCAACGTACGAGGTAGTCGCTGGCGACGGGTAGACGGGCCAGGTGGTTGCACCTTGGCCGTGACACCCGTCGTGGCTGCTTCAAGAGGCAAATCACCCAGCACCCGCGAAATTAATCGCCTACAAAACCCAAGTAGTTTAAAAAAAATGCCACTCGACGTCCTGCTTGCGCCGACGCGTCACATTACCTTTGGTTTTTCAGCCAATCCGCGAGCGTTTTGAAGTTGCGACCGGCCAATGGCATCGCGCAATGTCATGGCCTTCCTCGCACCGAGGTCAGTTTCCAATAAGCATTGTCCAAGCACACTCCACAAATGCCATCCTCGACCGCCGCCGCCACAACCACACCAACCACATCGTCCTTGACGACGCTCGGCACCAAGCTCGGCATCGACCTCGCGGCCGCCGGCCTCGCGTCGTTCTTCGTCGCGCCCTTTATCACGACGGTCGACCGGGCCGTGATTGAGAATGCCGCCGGCGCCCGCCCGCTCAAGAAGGCCCTCATTGAGATCAGCAAGGACTGCATCCGCAACCCGCTTCAGTTCATCCGGCGAAAGGAGTTTCTCTTGATTTACGGCGTGTACACGGCCACGTATCTGAGTGCGAACGGCGTCGATACGCTCTGCGAGACGGCCGAGGTCGACAGCAACATGCCCAAGTTCTTGTCGACGACCGCTGTCAACATGGGCGCGTGCATCATCAAGGACCGCGAGTTCACGCGCATGTTTGGCGTCATTGCGCCGACCAAGTTTCCGCTCATGTCGATGGGGCTCTTCGCGATCCGGGATTCGCTCACGGTCGGCGCGTCGTTCATTGCGCCGCCGATTCTGTCGGCCAAGTTCCAGGAGCTCGGCCAGACGCCGCGGACGTCGAATACGCTGGCGCAGCTCACGTGCCCGATGCTGGTGCAGTTTCTCTCGACGCCGCTCCACCTCCTCAGCCTCGACTTGTACAACAACAAGGGCGTCGCGATGGGTGACCGCATGTCGTTCATCTCGCGCGAGTACCTCAAGTCGACGACGGCGCGCGTTGCACGCGTCGTGCCGGCCTTTGGGTTTGGCGGCATTGGCAACAAGTACTTTCGGGACACGATGCGAGCCAAGTTGCTTTAAGCAGTCGCTGTCCGTGCCGTATAAGTTAGCCACCTGTAATAGAAAGTTAGTCCGTTCCAATAGCGTGTTGCTGCCACGGCCTCTTGCTAGAAGTCCGCATCGCCAGCCCATAGATGCTCGCTGCGACGCGGGCACCAAGTTCACGTCGCGCATCATTTTTGTACATGGGCGAGGACGAGCACTGTCCCTCGGCCATGCGAGCGACGATGTCTCAGATTCGTGTCGAGTAAAGCGTCGCCAGCGCAGAACGCTACTGCAATTGGCCAGAACGCACCGGCGCCAAGTCGACACCTCGTTCGAGTTGGACATGTAGATACTGCGAGCCAGCATGCGATCGAGATGCGACGACGTGCGCGGTGGTAGACAGCTTTGAAGCCAGAGAATTGGGAGGGTAGCGGGACCCACGCATTATTTGCTGTAGCGTGCGCTGCCGTACAAAGTTGCCATATCGCAAGTACATGCACACACAGCTCGATTACGACGCTTCCGACTGCCGAAAATTGAGCGTCGACGGTGCGACGCCAAAGGTGTCGGGCAGCGGCAGCGTCGGGAAGTTGGCACGCAAGATTGTCTTGATCATCGCGTTGTGGTGGATCGCGTGGTGCACGGCGAACGCCATTTCGCGCTCGATGGTCGAGGCGAGCTGCACCTCGTTGCCGTCGGCCGTGAGCATAAAGGCGGCGCGGACCGGCGACGTCAGGTGTGATGGCGCGACCGCCGCAGCTAGCGACAAAATGTGGTCCATTTCGTCCATGGCCGCGACGCGGTCCAGCTCGATCGCTGTGTTGCGGGCGCGAATGTCGTAGCGGATGTGGCCAGCGTGGTCGACGTCGAGAGACCGGCGAAGGTGGTCAAGCGAGTGGCGGACGTGGCCGCCCGTCGTGCCCATGAGAATTGGGCAGCGAAAGACGTACACGTCGTTCGAGAGCGTCTGAAGCAGCGCCGACTGCTGCTGGAGGATCGCTCGGAACGCCTCACGGACTGCCATTTTGCGCCGTCCGAAAGTGCAATGTCACATGATTTAAAAACACACAAATACAATGATATTATTGTATGCATTAAAATGACACCACGCAAGGACGACAGCGCCGCGTATCTTTCTTCGCCCGTCAGCATCGCCCGTCGGGTGCGTGCCGACACGATGGTGCCGTACGGATGACGACGCGCGCGTCAGCACGTATCATGCTACTCGGTGCTCTACTACCTACGCCTGTGAATTAAATCGCCGTACAGGCGGAGGTATATCGAACCAAGGGTTAAGAACTAGGTTCTACCAGTGCCAGAGCAATCTCACTCGAGCTGCAAGCTCTGTTGTTTGTCAAGAAATGCCAAAGAATTTGTTCAAGCCGCTCTTTTCTGGATGTGAATTTGACGCCACACTGAGTAAATCCATTGTACCGATGGCCACTTGAGTTAGTCGGACCCACTTGCCTGAGGCGACGGGAGATCCGTCCTACTAGCACGTTTTCCTCGGTCCATGCGGCTCTCTTCTTGGTCGTACTGGGCATTTGGACGCCCAAAAGAAGCTCGTCCAGACGATCTTGGACACTTGCCTACGGATCCATGACATCGGCTGCACACGCAAGGCGACGTGCGCCACGGGGAGCTGCCACAATTGAAACACATCGGAATGCGATGCGTTGCACGTCCCCAATCGCGTCGAGTCAACAACGCGACCGAACGCCGTAGCCGCCATACGATCGACACCCAAGATACGTTTTCCAGGCCTCTGATTGGTGCACACCATCGAGCGAAGCGTCGCCACAAGATCCCACGCACCAGCATGTACGTCGTCCGTGATGCACGCAGTCTTTTCTCATGCGACATAGGGCGTCGTTCGAGATTGCATCCATCGATGCCTCCTTCTGCCCAAGCCCCAACACATGCGCCATGGTGACGTGGCGCGTTGAGAGCATGCCACCCCCACCCAGCTCGTGCGCGCTGCCGGCCAATGCGACCGACTGCATTCTTGCGTTTCGCCTGCACACGCTGCAAGACAACGTCGAGACCGCTATCGCCTGGGTGAATGCTTCGTTTGCGCCCTTGGTCGTCTCGCAGTACTTTTACGTGGCCGCAGCCTTGCCGCGGAATGCCACGTTGGTCCAGTACCAAGTGTCGCTGCTCGTGCTACCGGAGGCCGACGCATCACAATTTGCCCGCACGTGTCCGTCCTCGTGTTTTGGCGCCGCGAGCTTCTTCTCGGGTATCTCGCCAGCACTAGCCGCGTCATCGATCCCCAGTGGCAACTCGACAATGGTTGCGATCGTGCGGCCACCAGACGACGCGCCGTCCGTGAACCTCGCGCTGATCCTCGTAGGCGCTGTCCTGGGCGCCATGGTGCTACTGAAGATGCTTGTTTCCGTCGTTGTGTGGGTACAAGCGCGCAAGACGTCGACGCACACCACAGGCAACGACGACGACGATATCGCGTCCTCGGACGACGAGGCGAGTCCCAAGAAGACGCTCAAGCAGCCGCGCTGGCGCAAGTTTGCCTCGACTGTTACAAAGGAGAAGAAGATGAAGGTGACCGCCAAGCCAGGCACGCTCGAGCACACGATGCAAGTCAAAGTCCTCAACGACGAGTACTTTCACGAAGAGACCCACGCCGTGGTGCGACCACTTGCACTGGAAACGCCGGGTCGTAAGATGCCAACTACGTAGGCCAAGTCGCTTTTGGACCTAAGCAGGAAGGCCCGCATTGAGCTCAAAGCCGAGGAGCGCAAGGGCCGTGCGGCGCTGGATGTGCACATGACGCATATGCAGCCGGACGAGGTGCTCCAGGGCCGCCACTTGGTGCTGGTACGATGCCGCTTCTGTCGATAACCAACTCACGTTTCGAACCAGACGAGCGAAATGACGGAAGGCGTGCTCGTCGCGGTCGTCTCAAAATCGGCGGCACTCACCACGCGTTGGCTCTTTGTGAACATTTCCCTGACGCGATTCAAGCTCAAGGCGTCAGCGCTGGGCAAGCCGTCCAAGCCGAGTTTCAAGGGCAGCGGAAAGCGGTCCATTGAGTTTGCTTCGCTGCGTGCTGTGACGCCGTACACGGATGCTCTTCCTCCCGCGTACAAGAGCGACCATCTCCCGCGGCTGCGCACACAAATAAACAAACGAATCGCTGCGAAGGCGACCAAGACACCCACCGTCGTAGCGTCCCAGAATATCAAGACGGCCGAAACGCAGGTAGCAGAGAGCACGCAGGTCAACGACGCAAGTCGGCGCAGCATCTACGTGGTGCACGTCGAGTTCACCAACAAACCCGACATTCTGTTCGCTGTTGACTCGGCCATCGATCAAGAACAAGCCGTGTACACGTGGCAGCGCCTGAGTGAAAAGGAAAAAGCACGAGCGAACGCCCCCGCGCGCTTGAACTCGTGGGCGCTCGTCTCGGCTGAGAGCGCCAAACGATTCTCCGTCGCGGCCGAGGTCCGACAAGCAAGCGCCGTCTTGGACGCTCCCGAGATTGCTCTGGTTCCACGAGAGTCGCTACCCGCTACGGTCGCTTCGGCAGACACAGCAGAACCGTAAATGAACTGCGGTAATACAGTGTCTATGGTATTGTTGTTCTTGGTGTTGACATGAGGTTTTCTATTCCCTCTCATCATCCCCTCCCTTTCCATCCGCTCTCTTTTCATTCACTATCTCTCCATTCACTCTCTCCATCGATTGTGGATTAGAGATGTAGAGAGCCGTTCTAAGGCTAGTGGTTGTCGCCGTATGGGTTCCACCGAGCGCAGTGCAATAGTTTGTGGGTTGACGTGCATATCATGTCATTTCGCATCAAGTGTGCATCCATCTTCGTCACTACTCAAGATGGCTGGTCTCGACTCATTTCTATATAATTATAGACGCATCTTAGTCCAGCGTCACTTGTATAAATGCATCATTCGTCGTCGAGCGCGCTCGTTCGCGGTCAAGCAAAGTCGGTGCGAAACTTGACGCGAAAGACGCGGTTGGAACAAAAATGCGAAGCCCGCAAGCGCCGCGCAACATCTGATGTGCTCATGACGTTCTTCCAGCCCGACGAAGTGCGCCAGAGCCGCCACGTCGAGCTGGTAAACCCCATATTCTCCATAGAATCTCGTCACGCGCTTGTAGACGACCGAGATGATGGACGGTTTGCCGCTGCTTGTCGTCTCCAAGAAGGGCAACGTCGGCACCAAATGGCTCTTTCTCGATGGGACCTTGACCAAAAGCTCACTCAGGTGGTCCTACTTCGGCAAACCGTCGAAACCACGATTCAAAGGCGTCGAAAAGCAGTCCACGGAGCTGAGCTCTATACTTGACGTGACGCCGTATACGGACGCCTTGCCTGCTGGCTACAAGAACTTGGCGCGGCTGCGCGCCCATCACGAGAAGCACCTGACCCTTCGCACCAAAAAGACTACAACGCCAATCGATGGGACCGACAACCCCGCATCCGTTTTCCTCGTGCACGTAACCTTTACCGCAAAGCCCGATCTTCTGTACATCGTCGACTCGGAGATCGACCAAGACCAAGCGACGTACTCGTGGCGGCGTCTTTTGGCAAAGACGAAGCGTCGACCGAGCTCGCCCACCCGGTCGTACTTGCTGCCGATTGATTTAGACTCCAGCGAGACGCGTCTGGCAAGCATCAGCGGACTACCTCCGAGTCGACCAGCCGACGAACTTCTACTGCCACCGGTTGCCGCCGACGCACCATGCAGTGCAATGTCCAGCGATCCGCTCGTGGATGATCTGCAGGCCACGTTGGAGGCATCCCTCCGTCTCGATCCAAACCACCATGACGTACCGTCCGTGGGCATAGTACCTTGAGCACTTGTACTACTTGTTGGCGCTCGTTTGTATCATTATACTTAACGAGTTTACAACAATCTGAAGGTGCGTTTTGATTGCAAGCTCTTTTGTGCGCCAGCGTGCTGCCTTGTGGAGGATTCGACGCGGCTTGGTATGGATCCCGTAGGCTCGAAACAGTTGTCGAGGCACCCAGCTCCCACGCTTGACCTTGCATCACCACCATCAAGGGAAATCGATCGATTCATTTCACTTGCCACCATCCATCTCGACGCGGCGACAGTGGCAACGCTCGCATGACCAAAAGGGCGCGACGCAAACACGTTCAATCGACAGTCGTTACACCTGCTGCTCATCGTTGGAAACAAACAATCATGGCGATCGTGCCCCGCAAGCCCGAGGCCCTCGCGCCACTTGTCCTGAGTCCGCGCAGCTCGTCGCCGTCGCTCGTGATCCCGTCGTGGTACTCGCACCCATCGCCGCGTGCGAGTAGCCCGCGCCCGCCCATGACACCGACCTTTACGTACCCGGAGCTCTCGCCCCTCAGCCCGCGCCTCGGTGTCGACGACCGCGCCGTTGGCGCCGACGCCGTCCACGCCAAGCTCGAGCGGCTACGCTACACCCACGTACGCATGGTGCGATTGGCGCAATGGCTGAGTCGATATGGGACGTAGTTGCTCTTGCACGAGCGCTTCCAGCACATTCGCAGCGTCCAGGATGTGTTTGATCAAGATGTACATCGTGTCTACATCGACAACTTGTCCATCATCTTGCGACTAGATGGCCGAGGTGCAGCGCGCCCTCACGTTTGTCGAGTTCAATCGCGACGAGAAGCGCGCATGCATCGCTGCGTATTTGAACCGGCACTCGA